GATTGTCCGTGACATTACGTTTTTTGGCTACAGGTTTGTCTACAATTTGGTTCCCAGTTTTGTTGCATTGTAATGATTAGTTGACAGACTCGGACAGAGAGCTTTTTCATTAATTAATGCATTTTTATAAAACTTATTTTAAGGAGAAACATTTAGAAGTCTTTCTTTCCAATACCGAATTGGTGAAAGAACAATATCAGGAATAGTTGAAGAAACATGTCAAGCCTTGCATGAAGTTATGAAGACAAATATTTAAAGGTATAAAATTTAATTTTGTAAACTGTATAGCTATAACATAGTAAAACGTTTATTATAAGTATCAGTAAACACTATTATTATACAACAGTATTTTGCTCAATATTATAGCTTTGTAATTAAAGTTTGCCAACTACTTGTCCTTTTCAGTAGTGGTCCTCTCTGTAGGGCACACTATTTTGCCCATAAATTGGACGTTGTTGGCTTTGTGAGGTACCAGGCATGATTGGGTGGAAATAATTTCTCTGGGGTTGGGGTTGAATCACTGTTGGTGTTTGTATTTCCTGGGTTAGTAATCCAGCCTGTGCTTGAAAAATAATATTATTGATCTTGTTTTGTGCCAAATTGCTTGCCACTTTATCTAATTCGGACAAAGCTTTGGCAACATAATTCCCAAAAACCTCATAAATTGTATCATTTCGTTTTGTTTTATGTTTGTTTGCAATTGGCTGAGACAGATTCTTGATTAAGTGATACTCTTCTTCAGCTTGTTTCCTTCTGGACATTGCTCTTTTTTCAAGTGGTTCACTTGTTGATCTTACAGTGCTCTGATCACCACTTTCCTCAGTTTGATTGGTTGGGCTGGTTAGAATGAATTGATCAGGGAAATTATCATCTTCACCCTCATCATTTTCTTCAAAACTTATCTCTGAGGATGGAGTACTACAACTGCCATGGGAATCCTAAAAATTAAACAAATATTTTATTTTCTAGACCCCGAACAATAAAGAAGATTGGCTACAAATTGCATCAGAATTTAATATGAAGTGGAATTATCCATGCTGTTTAGGAGCCATTGATGGGAAGCACATTGCTATTCAACAACCAGCTGATACAGGCTCTGAGTTCTTCAACTATAAGCACTTTTTTAGTGTGATTTTATTTGCCATGGTTGATGCAAATTATAAATTTATTTATATTGATGTTGGAGCAGCTGGCAGAGCAGGCGATGCTGGGGTTTTTGCTGATTCTGCATTGGATAAAGCACTAACAACAAACTCTTTAGATCTCCCAGATGCAGTTGCATTACAAGGGATATCAACAAAGATATCATATCATATTGTTGGGGATGATGCCTTTCCCTTAAATACCCGTTTAATGAAGCCATACCCTTATTGGAATTTGGAGAAAGAGAAGCGCATATTCAATTACAGATTGTCCAGAGCACGAAGAGTTGTTGAAAATGCCTTTGGCATTTTAGCTCATAGGTGGAGGGTATTCTTAACAACAATTAAACTATCACCTGACAAAGTCACGGACATAATTTTTGCAGCTTGTTGCTTGCACAATTTAATGGTTGAAAAAAACAAAGCAAGTTACACATCAGCTGCAGACCTTGAAAACACCGATCATACATTGGTAAGAGGGACCTGGAGGAACGACCAAGTTTTGACCAATATACAACCAACCACCTTCCACAATGCGACAAAGGATGCCAAGACTCAAAGGGTACTTTTGACAAATTATTTTAACAATTATGGATCTGTACCTTGGCAAAGCAGTATGGTTGCTTAGCCATATTGCTTACACAAACATGTATATATTTTCTGTAACAATTACACTATTATTAACTACGTTATGAATTTTACACTCTCTTACTCTTTATATATAGATATGTGTGTGTGTGTGTGTGTAAACTGTAAATGCCTTTATTTCTTTAATGTATTTACTTACCAAATCAATATTTGAAATTGAAGCCCGAGTTGCCACATGAGGTGTTAGAAACTGGAGTTTTTCAAGTAGCCATTGAGTGCGCTTTGTTGGTTTTTTCTTGCACTTCCACTAGCTGGGGGCTTCTTCGCTTTGCTGAAGCTGATTCTCAGGGCCCTGATTCTAGCTTTGACCCACTCACCTAGAATGAATAATTGAATTTCTGTCCGGTCAAAACGGCCCCAAATATTGGTATTTTTTACACTAATAAAATTTTGAATTATCTTACATGTTGTTCCAAGTTTTTCGGCCAGTTCTTGAAACGCTTTATCTCGTAACTCCCGATTCTTAAATTCTGGACACCGAACGTCGTAAAGACAAGGATAATCGGGCCATAAATCAGCTAATTTATCTTCCAGCACTGCATCAGCAACTATCGAGTTGTTTGCCGCCATCTTGACTTCAATAAAACATGGCAAGGACGTATGTGCGTTCGCATTGATTCCTGAGCTGATAGCTCAAAACGCGCTTACTGGTACTGTTTTACATGAGCCGTTTTATCAGAAAATTATATAGCTCTGATATATGGCGCCTTCGGCCCAGATACTGATATTGATCCACTTCTAGTAAGAACACAAATTTAAAGACCGGTAAAGCGCAAAAGTTAACAGTTAAAATTATTTCAGGCTAAGTGAAATAACATAGCAATCCGAATCCGTTATAAATCCACAATAACTTTAGCGAATACGTATAAAAGACTCTTACTTAATCCAAAATGTTTGTATGCCTATGCACGGAATGCCTGTGTTCCTGTGTGGCAGGTGTTTTAAGGAAACCCACAAAGCTAAAAATTAGGCCTGCAGGGAAACCGTACACAGAGATTTTAACCCAATCGATGAAAACTGCAGGATTTTAAACGGATTTGGCCTAATTTACACTGCATGGCTAACTGCATTATGGATGTGAGTTTGTAACGTTGTGGGTCGAAGCCGCGGGACACCTGAAAAGGCTATAGTGAACGCCATGCTTTTTTTGAGATTTCTCCGCGTAACTTTTACATTGGTTAAAGACAATTGAATGCCAATCGTCTTCTTGAAGTACTTCGAAAGGGATGCTTGATGAAAGATGAAGTAAACAGAAGATGCGCGCAAAATATATAACACCATATGAAAGTTGTTCAAGCGAGTGATAGCGATTGCTGTTTCATTAAATAGTATTGACTTGAGAAAACACGGGGGTCACGGAAACAAAATTTATTGGAAATACCATTGCAAATGATGTATTCATTTTAAAACCTTGTGTGTTTTCCAAGGGTTTCCTGCAAAATGAGATTACATAATCAATTCAAAGACTGGAAATAAAGCATGCTGAGTGAGCTTCTGTCTTATTTCAAATTTTTCAGAATTGTTTTGTTTCCGTTAGACAGGGACTGCTGCTTAATCAAAAATGTATCATTTTAAAGCAACTCAGCATTCATTTCAAGTGTAATCGGCAGTTCTTTCTCGCAACTATAATCTCCATTGAAAACTCTGACTTAAAACTCAGATATTTGTTGTTATTTCGGGTCTTTCCTCGGAATTTTTTCATTGGTTAAAGACAGTTGAATGCCAGTCGTCTTCTTAAAGTACTTCGAAAGGGATACTTGATGAAAGATGAAGTAAACAGAATCTGCGCGCAAAATAGATAATACCATATGAAAGTTGATTAAGCGAGTCATAGCGATTGCTGTTTCAACATTCGCGTTTGCGTTGCGTTTGTCATCGAACTGTTTGAATTTTCGCCTGTTATGACAAGTTTTAGAAGACGTTTTGCTATTGGTCGAATGAAAGAATTAAATTAAATCATGCAATAAATAGATGTCTGAATGCATGGCAAGCAGCAGACTCCAGTTAGCGATTTTCTCGCCCGAAGCCCAGATCTTCTTTACGGATCTGTCGCAGGTTAAAAATTAACATTATCATTCTCTGGTTAAACAAAACTGTGAAAATATTTAGTCGACGGCCTGGAATCCAATTTTTCAGTGCTGGATATTTCTAAGAGTTGGGAAACATTGATAATGCATGGAATTTCTTGCTTGCCTTTGGATGTGAGATCCAAAACTTGTCACTAAGCGACCAATGGAAAGGAACAATTTTCTATTTGTATCTCTGTTGTTATTGCGTGCTCCGTTACGAGCATGGCTTCACTGCTCCATGGAAGGAAATAAAGGTAGGAAGTTATACTTTCTTCTGTTCTTTAAATCTTAGCTAACTTTGATTCAGAATCGCACTAAATTATCTCTTGGCATAGGGCAGACATAAAATTCTTACATGTTTAAAGAAATGTTATATCAGATTTCCTTAAGGGGAAAGACTACGCACGTTTTGAACATTTATCTCCGTGTTTGACTTTTATTTCAATGCTAACCTTACTCTGCCAAATTTATTTTTTAAAAATTCTAATTGTATCTCTTATAAGGTCGCCTGCAACTCAGCTATTCAACTAAAAGAAGTAGGAATATTAAAAAAAAAACTCACCCCAGTCAATGATTTTAGGTAAAGTTACAAAACTCGATTAATTTTCAGCTGCTCGAAATTAGGCCCAAAAAAAACGCAATGACAATTTGTTGTTGATGTTTTCATTACGCTCTTGTTCCAAATTTCTTTGTCAGAGAGGTATTGAATATTTTGTTAGTTTTAAAGAAAAATTGATGCCAACCAAAGGGCGATATTTACTTCGCTTTTTGAAACGAATTTTCAATCACTTAGGGGTCTATTTAACAGACATATATTTCATTTATTTAGTGGAAATAAGTAGCTTGTTTTGCTTAATTAAAAAACTCCCTCTTCCTGCATAAATTTTTATACTCATCGAGAAAGACAAATCGTCTCAATTCTTGGTTACCAAAGAAATTACTCAATAGCTAGCTACTCAAGCATCAGGATCGTTATGTACCATTCAGATTCTTTTTATTTCGTCCGTGATTTAGGCGTTTTGTTTATATATGCTCGAAATTTATGTCACTAGTTTTAATGAATTTACTGTTACAAAAAGTTAATGACACTTGTCATCATTTATCTTGCAAATCCCTTGCAGGCCGTGGTTGCCGAAGTCTTATGTTTCTGAAATCCTTTAAAGGACAAGCTTTTCAACGCCACGTTTTTAAAGAAGTCTATTTAAACATGGGAATCGAGCCTTATAGTGACTGCAAAAATAGGTGCCTCATGGAAAACTCCTGTGTGTCCGTGAACATTGGTCCGCCTGACAAGAATGGCCTAAGGGTGTGTCAACTGAGTGATTCTGATCACACCCAACATCCTGATGACCTTAAACCCCAAGAAGGATATTTGTATTGGGCTTCAAAGGTGCGGAAATGCATTTTACCCGATGATGTTTATTTATTTATTTTTCTTGATAAAAATGTTACTAAAAATAAATCTGTCCATGTACAATACGTGCTCCAGCAAGCCTTGTCCTCAAAATATGACCTGCGTTAATGGGTTTACCAACAAGAGATACATTTGCTTAATGTGTAAAGCTGGTTTCATGGGAGAAAGATGTGAACAAGGTAAAAAAAGAACTTTGTGTTTCGGTATTTCAGTTTATTCTGAATTTTTTTGGTCCTCTCTTCTTGTGTACGTTCAGGGAAAAAAATCAATAAATTCACACAATCGCTTTTATTAGGAGAACTCACCTTCCATAAATTTGTTTATTTGTATTTATTTTTTTTTTGTAATTGCTTCTATAACGTGTATAAATGAGTGTGTGTCATTTTTGTAACAGCTCCGGTGGTCCATGAATCTTTTGATATATAATTTTTTTCATCATTAAAATTGTTAAAATAAACAAGTGCACCAATTATGTAAAAAGAAAAAACAAACAAAACAAAACAAAAAAACCCTCTTACTCCATGGATGCATTCTTCTCCTCTGGAACGTTTTTTTTAAAGCCCTAGAAAGCAGTGGACTACAGTACGAAAATCTCGTAACCGTGGAATGGGCCAGACTTTGTGTCTTTCCACATTACCCAGTTTCTATACCTGGTCCTCTGTGATAATATGAGTTGTTGGAATGCCCCATTGGAATTCAAGAGAGTTATTTCCACTTCGGCGTTGTCTATCATTCGAAGATAATTATGTTTTAACATCATTCACTATTTTGTTTTGTTTGTTTGCTTTTTTTCAGATATAAACGAGTGTATCAGTGATACCCACGGTTGTCATTATAATGCAAGTTGCAACAACACAATTGGCTCTTACACATGCAAATGCAAGCCAGGATTTAGTTGCAGTTAGTATGACAGATTTTTTGATTGTTAATCAGTGCAACGTCTATACAGTAATTATATGGAATCTGATGAGATTCTCATCAACCAACACCACCGGTTCATAACCAAAATTCGCGTATAAGTTGATCAAACCATAATTTGAAATAGCTTGCATCATATCCTTTTGGAAAAAGCTAGATTTTCATGAATATGCTTAACCAAATTTCCAAATGTAAAAGTTCTGCCATGTTTTCTATTACTACCACTACTACTACGTTCTTAAAGAGTTTTAGAGTAAAAAAAAATAAATAATAATAATAATAAAGAAAAGGAACAGGCAATCAAACAAAAACCAATGATGGATCACATCAATTTTTTTTATTTTTCTCAATTGAATGAAAGAACGTGTGATATCAAAAAATGGTTGAAGTAAACTTTTTTTATCCCTCAGAATTCCAAGCCGTTTTTAAAAATCTCAATGCCACTGGAAGATATGGTCCAACGACGCTGGGCAGTCACTACACAGGTCAGGACCATGACGGACAAGTTACACTGTCTAGCGGTATTCAACAATGGACTGTGCCGTACACTGGTGACTACAGAATAGAAGCCATCGGAGCAGCAGGAGGATACGATCCAACTGCCAACAGGTACATTTGGTGGAGGTACATTTGTAGTGAGAGGAGCCAATGCACCTTTGATTATAGCTGGAGGCGGGGGAGGTTTACAAAGTGTTAATTCAAGACATGGAGAATGTGACGCCAGCACACAAACAACAGGGAATCCTGGATAGCAATCATGGTCAGGGGGAAGCAATGGACATGGTGCACAAACGGCTGGTGATAGCGTTTCAGGTAAAAATATATTGTGATGTTTTCTTACTCTTCATGGCCTTAGCAGCAACTTAATCAGGTTGTACGTTCCTGGTCTCTATGCAAGACTAGTGCTGATAACGTGGCAATGTCATTATCAATCTAGTTTCTGATTGACAATAAAAAGATAGATCACAGTTTTCACTCAGTGTCCTTCTAGGCATCTTTACCTTTACATTCTTTAGAGTATCACTTCCTCTGATATTTCAACATTTTAAAAACCCAAAAGAAATTATGAAATTCTGCCTCAACCACAGAATTGAACATTATTATACATTAAATTATCAAATAGCCTGAGTTGGTATCTTGGGAGTCTTTGGACCAAATGTTATGGCAACCATGGTAAAGTTTACATGCCTTATTAATTCGTACAAAGAAGGCACGCTCGCAAAAAAAAAAAAAAAAAAAAAAAAATTAGGTTTTTTTGCTTTTCCGAAAATTCACGCGTTTGGGTGACCACATGTCAAGTTATATCAATATCGAAAAAACTCAGAATTCCGACTGCCAACAGAAACACGGAGGCGTCCTGTAGAGACTCTCAGAAACATATTCAACATATTCTGTAAGTTTCTATCCATTAGTTACCCGTAACAGACCTTTAGTTCAATTCAGCTGAACGGCAATTTCGATTTCAAATCTTTTTTTAAAATAATTTTTAACTTAAAAGCGGCTTGGGCACGCCGTGGCAAAACTTAATAGTCACTGGCCGGGTGCGAGCAACGAAGATTGCTTAAACCACAAGTCCTTATGCATTTCGCCATACCGTGCTTAATTTCTTTACTTCTTATGCAGACAGCCAGACTTCTTTTTACTTTCATCTATGGAATCTTCTCCCTACATCTATGGCTATTCCCATTCTAGTTTTTAACGCAGACATATAGCAAAGATCTCAACGTGCAACCGAAATAATGAGATGTTTACGAAATTCAAGGATCAAGAAACCCTTGGGGAGTCATTTATGTTGACATGTTATAATTGGCTATTCACAGTTTGGCCGGCTGACGAATTAAGTTCAGAAATATGTTTTTTTTCTTTTTCCAATAACTCGGGTGTATTTCAATACTTTACATAAATTTTTCTCGGAAACTTTATGTCAAATAACAATGTTCAGTTTTACATGGAAAAAAAAAATTCCAAGACAATTCCAAAAATATTGGCCCTCGAAGGTCTACCGTATCCTTAGATCAATTTCCATGTATCGTTATTTTTTTTCTCAGGTGGAGGTGGTGGCGGCTTTTGTTCAAGTGGAAGAAGTGGAGTGTATTTCAATGGAACCGTGGGAGAGGGTGGAGAGGGTGGTAAGGGATTTCTTCAGGGAGGGGTGGGTGGGAGAGCCCGTTACAACGATGTCACTGGTGGGTTTGGGGGAGGAGTTGGGGCTTGGGGATGGTCGGGGGGGGGGGAGGAGGAGGAGGAGGGTACTCTGGGGGAGGTAGTGGTAAAACCCTTCAGGATTCCTGTGGCGGTGGAGGTGGGTCGTTCAGTGCTGGAAACAACCAACATAATGATTGTTGTTACAACTCTGCAGGTCATGGTCAGGTGACGATAATATTACAGTAGAGCAAACCAACCATAAGCTACCAAACTACAAAAAAAAATTACAGACTGGGATAGTGAATCAGGGTGTTGGACGTTACATTTCTTTAACTTAGACATTAGGTCGAGGTTGATCTTCATAGGGAAGTGTTGACTTTTGCCTAAGAAACTATTTCATAGTAACATTAGAACAACTAGCATATCTCAAGCTTCAGCTCGATCTCCTCATTTTCTCTTGATCGAGCATTTCAGTAACAATATGTCATTATGTTGGTTGACCTTCTCTAATTTGGCTAGTTAACTCAGTTCGTAAAGCACTGCACCGGTATCTCAGAGGTCATGGGTTCAAATCCCGCGCAGGCCTGAATTTTCCAGGCATCACTTTCACTACTGCTTAGGTAGTGTTCGTTTCTATGAAGACTGCTGTCGTTTTCTTAAAAGGATGTTTGTTTTGGGGATTTTCAAATGTCAAAGCCAAAAATGAACTAGATAGACCTAAGGTGTGTAAACTTTACCGACATTTAGAAAGCAAAGCTGGATATTCCTGAATATTATAATAGAACAAACAACAGGTGTCAGAAAAATATATTATAGAGAGGCAACTATGTCGTTCCGTTACTCAGTTTTACCCATATCCAATATTTTATACCATAGAGAGGCAACTGTGTCGTTCTGTTACTCAATTTTTACTCATATCCATTATGTTATATTATAGAGAGGCAACAATGTTGTTCTGTCACTCAATTTTACTCATATTCATTATGATATATTATAAAGGCAGCATGTCGTTCTGCTACTCAATTTTACTCATACCATTATGTTATATCATAGAGAGCCAACTATGTCGCTCGGTTACTCAATTTTACCCATATCCAATATGTTATACCATAGAGAGGCGACAAGCTCGTTTTGTTACTCAATTACACCCATATTCATTATGTTATACCATAGAGCGGCAACTATGTCGTTCTGTTACTCAGTTTTTCCCATATCCATTATATTATAGAGAGGCAACAATGTCGTTCTGTTACTCGATTTTACCCATATCCATTATATTATATTATAGAGAGGCGACAAGCTCGTTGTTATTCAATTTTACCCATATTCATTATGTTATATTGTAGAGAGGCAACAGTGTTGTTCTGTTACTCAATTTTACCCATATCCGTTGTTATATTATAGAGAGACGACAAGCTCGTTCTGTTACTCAATTTTACTGATATTCATTATGTTATATTATAGAGAGGCAACAATGTTGTTCTGTTACTCAATTTTACCCATATCTATTATGTTATATTATAGAGAGGCGACAAGCTCGTTCTGTTACTCGATTTTACCCATATAATAATAATAACTTTATTTGTATAGCGGTATATACAAAAGCTCTATATCGCTTTACAATCAAAAAAGAAAATAACTAACTAACAATAACATTAAAACAAAAAGTCAAATGAAAGCGAGTCTGAAAAGATAAGTTTTCAATCTAGATTTAAAAACATCAACTGATCCACTTAATTTAATGTCTAAGGGAATATCATTCCATTGCTTTGGGGCAGCGACCGAAAAGGCCCTGTCCCCATAGCTCTTCAGGCGCACATTCGGTACTTCTAATAAATGTTTGCCAGCAGACCTAAGATTTCTTGTAGGGTTATATGGGACTATAAGTTGACTTAAATACGGAGGCGCCAGATTATTGAGAGCTTTAAAAGTTAACAATAATACTTTAAAGGTAATTCGCTGCTCCACAGGTAACCAGTGCAGCTCCTTAAGGACGGGGCGAATGTGCGCAGCCCTAGGTTGCCCAGCTACAAGGCGTGCGGCGCAGTTTTGAACGCGCTGGAGCTTCTGAATAATATAGTCCGGTGACCCGAAGAGCAACGAGTTACAATAGTCCAGTCGACAAGTAACGTAAGCATGGACAAGGGTCTTTTTGCTCTCAAAAGTCAGATACATTCTAATCTTAGCGATATTCCGAAGATGAAATAAAGCAGATTTACAAACGGAACTCACATGCTTATCCAGTGACAAGGTCTCATCAAAAACAACTCCTATGTTCCTAGCTTTGTCAGACCGCTCTACACGACGATCACCAATCAGGATACTATCTAAAGATGGGCGTGGCCGATATTTTGAACTGATAACGAGCAGTTCCGTCTTGTCCCTATTCAACTTAAGTTTGTTACAAGACATCCAACGGTCGATATCTCTAACACAAGATTCAACCTGAGAGACAGAATAAGCTTGATCATCCCCACTAAGAGAATTGAAAGACAATGGGAGGTATAGAGCTGGTATAAAATCGGTCCAAGCACGGAGCCTTGTGGTACTCCGCACGACAGCGAACACGTGACAGACCGCGCACCACGAATGCTCACAAAATGAGTTCTGTCGCTCAGGTATGATTTAAACCAGGCCAGAGCTAGATCGCAAAGACCGAAGCGGTTTGCTAATCTCTCAATCAGTATAGTGTGATCGACCGTATCGAAAGCGGCCGATAGATCTAATAAAAGTAAGATAACAGTCCTATTCCTATCAACGTCTAGGATAATATCATTAAAAACTTTAATTAAAGCTGTTTTGGTACTATGAAATTGTTTATATGCAGATTGTATTATTTCATCAAGTCCATTACTAGAAATGTGATTAATCAACTGAGATGCCACCACCTTCTCAGTGAGTTTAGGCATGAACGTCAAATTTGAGATAGGACGAAAATTCGAAAAAACCTCAACATCAAGTGTGGGCTTTTTGAGAAGAGGATTCAACAATGCAAGCTTAAAACAGTCTGGAAAAACAGCTAGACATAAAGACTGATTTACAATTTGAGTTATAACAGGTAAAAGAACTGATATGCACTGCTTCAAAACAGAAGCAGGGACGGGATCAAGAAGACAGGATTTGATGGTCATCTTACTAAGTAATTCCGAGACATCAGACGATGTTACAGACTTAAAACATGACAAGGCACACTGATGGACAATGCCATCGGACTCCACAACAGTATCAGATGTGGAGTCAAGTGAGTTTCGCAGAACTGTAATCTTCTCACTAAAGAAGTCAATGAACTTGTTAGCAAGATCACCATCAGACGCACACCCTGAAGGATACTCCGCTGGCACGCGCTTATGTAGGAGCTTATTTACCGTATTGAAAAGAGTTCGGGGATTATTACTACTCTCCCGTATAATGCCTGAATAATAGTCAACTTTCGTTTTCTTGATCAAAGCGTTCACTCTAAGGCATAGTTCCTTAAATCTAGAATAATCCGATTCTCGTTTTGAAGAACGCCAGCGCCGCTCGAGAGCTCTGCGTTTTCTCTTTTCAGATTGT